GTGGCCGGGGGTGCCGCCCCCGCCTTTTCTCCTGTTCCTGTCTCTGAGCGGGTCGGCCAGTGCGCCGACGCCGCCTCTTCTCCTGTTTTTGTCTTTGAGCGGGTCGACGATGCCACCCTGCTTCCAGCTCCTGAGGGGTTCGCCGATGACTCCACTCTCCTGCTTCCAGTTCCCAAAGGGTTCGCCGACAATGCCTTTTTCCCGCTTCCAGCTCCCGAGGGGTTCGCTGACGACACCTCTTTCCCGCTTCCAGCTCCTGAGGGGTTTGCCGCTGACGACACCTCTTTCCCACTTCCAGCTCCCGAGGGGCCCTCCTTCCAGCTCCAGAAGGGGTTGCCGTCATCTCGGCCCCTGCCTGTGCATCCTCCACCAGAGCTGCATCGACCCTGCAGCTCAGCACACCCTTGGTCCTCCCACCTGGTGCCGTGGTTGTCCTCCTGAATGGCCTCTACGCTCCCCTGCCTGGCGCTGAGGTCATCCTCCAGAACTGTCCTTCTTCGCCCCCTAGCCTGTCTACGAGTTTGTCCTCCTGAACTGCCCTTCTTCGCCCCTGCCTGGTGCTCATGGGTCACCCTAGGTGTCCCTATGTTTTCTTTTGGAATATGTACACGGTTTTTGGGATTTGGGGTTTTTGTGGACTTCCTACACTGTTTTTGGGACCCTTTGTCTTGGATTTGTCTGGCAGACGCTCCGTCATCACCAGAGCATTGCTTAATTACTTAAATACTTATATGAACGTAAATGCTTGTATTCAGTCGTTACAGGATTTGATTTTCAACGCTGACAGTCCCTGTGCAGATGATTATCTTTCAGTATGTTGTTTACTTGTATTTAGCCATACGTAACTTGACTTCAACACTGACAGTTCCTGAGCTGTTGATGTCTTGTTTTTTCCGTTGCTACTCTGCTTCCCCAACGGCGTTAGCTGTCCACCTGGTTACTGCCTTTTCACCTGTCCGTCCTGGTCCTCTGACTCTCCTGGTTCCTGCCTTTAATTACTCTACTCACTTGTTTGTCCTGGTCTTCTCAGCCATCACTGCCCTACCCTGTTTTTGCACTATACGTTGACTCAGTTACTTTGTGTTCTCCATTAAACCTCTTGAGTCCTACCTCAGTTCTTCCTCATCCCCTGGTGAGGGGGACGTAACCATAACAATATTGCCTTAATTTATAAAGAATAAAATTTTTAACTTGCAAGTATAAAAAAAAATCTCTATTACTGAGGCCGTACATGGCTTTAGTCTGTTGGAAAGTAAGAACTGACCCCTCCTCAAACAAGTCACCAACTGTTTTGATACCTTTTTGAGACCTGGTCTTGGACATACTTAACAATCTATTTTCAAGGCGGACTTTTCCAGAAAAGCTAGACATCGTGAGGAGAGGTCAGCTAACCCCAAAGCTAGCTAGCTTGTCTCAGTCCGGGAAAGGGTTTGTTCACCACTTCCATGGCTATAGAACAGGACTTATGAAACTGAAACGCAAAGATCACCTCTATGACACAGTCATTGAAGTCTTCCTGCACAAGGAAAGGAGGATGAATTTTGTCTATAAATAAATAGCATCTCTGGTGAGTATGATGTATTTTATTTAAATTTTGTATGTTTTTGCCATGTTATTAAATAAATATTGATTCTGAAATGCTCCTGATGTACGTGGCACAGTTGCGGTTGTAGTGTAGAGGTTTGGAGTTGTCTTAACAGGGTTTCTTGCTTTAGTAAAAATGGTATTCACCCTCAATATGCAAAATGCCTCTTTCTCTGTCATGCCAGGCTTTGTTATATTGTGTTTTTAGTAGTAGTATTGATGGTTTCTATAACTGACGTGATAGTGGTAATATTAAGATGTGAATTAAGTTGGGTAAGACCCCACTGAAGGCCCAGGTACCAAATGCATGGCCCGCCACTGGTAATGTGTGGGGTAACAATGTACAACAGACTATGGATTCAAATTACAGTAACAGACAATCAAGATGGTGCCTTATGTACTTGTGCTCTCTTGTGTGTGTGTGTTGTTTTTCTTTGTTTCCTCAGTCTTTTCCAACCCATCCCAGATTACTTTCATCAGAGAAGAATTGCTAAACACCAGACAACTCACACCAAAATACCTTTCTCCAATCTTTGTGAATGAGGAATGCTGTGTGGACATTCTGATCGGAGGTGCAGCTGCAATCTATGGGATCTGGACAAAACGCCATTGAGGGAAGTGCGCAGGAGCACTGGTAAGGCTACACCAGAGAGAGACCCGGACTCCAGTCCAGTCTATCCACCTAGTGAATGTCCGTTCCCTAGTCAACAAGATGGATGAACTCCTTCTCGTCTGACTTTGCATAATTTATAAAGGTTTTATATGATGAACCAAAAGATTAATTCAGAGTTTAGACAAAAAATACTGTATCAAATCTTTTATGAAAATGATTCATCACTTAAAATTAAAAATAAATATGAACAAAAATTAAAGTAACATGCATTGTCCTTGAGCTCATCACGGGCTGATGAGCTTAAGGACAATGTCTAGGGGCACATGCTACATCATCTCTCAGGGCTCTGAACAAAGTGGGAGGGTGGTGTAAGAAGAAGATAAAATGAACTGTTCACCACCTCAGCCCTGCTCCTCTCCTCCCTGATTGATGATACTTGGGGCTCTGAGTTCTGCTTCCCCAACCTCAACTCCTCCTGCAGGCGTCTGCTGCGACCACGCTCTGAGACTCTTCTACTCTACACCCTAGTTGCATCTGTCTCTCTGCTCACTGTGGTACTCAATTTGCTTGTTATTATCTCCATCTCCCACTTCCGGCAGCTCCACACCCCGACCAACACTCTGCTCCAGTCTATGGCTGTGTGTGACATGGGACTGGGGCTGTTGGTGATGCCTGTTGAAGGTCAGCACTATATTGAGAAATGCTGGCTGCTGGGGAGGATAATGTGTGCTCTGTCTCCTTATGTTTTATACTGTTTGGGTGCTAGTGCTCTGGGCCACATTGTGCTCATATCCATTGACCGTTATCTGACTATCTGTAACCCACTGATTTACTGCTCTAAGGTCACTGTGACTAAAGTTAAAATCTGTATCTGTGTCTGTTGGACTTGCTCAATTATCTACAATGTGTTACTTCTAATACACCATTTAGTGCAGCCAGACAGATTCAACTCCTGCTATGGGGAGTGTGTGGTGGTCATCAGCCAGATGTTTGCAACTGCGGACTTGTTTATAACCTTTATTGGGCCTTGTACTGTCATAGTTGTGCTGTATATCAGGGTGTTTGTGGCTGCCCTTTCTCAGATACATGCAATTCAGTCACAGGCTGCTGCTACCAAGGCCAGAGCAGCTCCAACTGCTAGAAAATCCCAGCCCAAGGCAGCCAGGACTCTGGGGATTCTGATAGCTGTGTTTGTGATATGTTTCTGTCCGTACTTCTATCCTGCTCTTGCAGGTATAGAGACTTCTACTAGTTTGTCCTATTATCCAATACTGAATTGGTTGTGGTTACTGAACTCTTGTTTCAACCCTCTGATTTATGCCATGTTCTACCCCTGGTTTAGAAAAGCTATCAAGCTCATTATCACACTCAGAATACTGCAGAATAACTGCCGGGAGGTCAAGATCCTGTAGACAGGGCTGGAAGTATCAGTCAATGGTCATTTTACACTGTGTCACCTCTGAGCAGACTGTTCTGCTACAGCACCACACAGACCCTTGACAGTGGCCTCAGGCACAGAGTTTCTCATTCTGTCAATCAGTCATGTTGTAAACTGTTTTTCTCATAAATACACACCTCAGTGCTGAGTGAAGCACATTAACCTGGGATGATGAGACTTTTCACCGCAAATGTTGGTCTGTTGACCTTGAATGAAACCTTGTGCAGGGCATTTGTGTTTGGTAGTAAAAATTTATATGTAGCCGGGTGGAAATGCACCTGTTAGACTTAGATATGGAAAAAGGGGTGCTACCGCTTTTAGAGAAGTAACCCTGGGAACGTAGAGGATGCTGGGTATCAATCCAGTGGATTCTGGGAAACATAAAAAGCCATGTGTGTTTACCTGACTGAAGCGGTATTTCAGCGGAAGTTCTGTAATTGGTTGTTGAAGGTAAATCTTGTACACCGCGAGTTTGTACTAACCGAATGTAAGTTGACAGTCGCCTAAGAGTGTTGTGTGTACGTAATTCTGTAAGTTTCATTTGTTTATAGCGATGCATATGTTGGATGTTTACAGATTTTAGTCCCAGCGTGTGACCCGTGGGATTTGGGGAGTGTGTCGTGCATCGATTACTGCAGACGGACTTTCTGTACAGTTAGGTTTTATTTTAACTCCGCATTCATTATTATGTTTTAGGCTAGCAGGAGAAATGTTAAATTTCTGATGTCTAATGTATGTGCTCTTTGTTTGTTTGTACAGTGTGCCATCACAGTTATTTCTGTATTTTCTGTATTCCTTATTTCAACGGAAGAGTTTTTTTTTTGTTGTACTTCAAGGCAAGGGCGCAGTTGTAAACGTCCCGCACCGAATGAGAGAGAGACAGGGTTGACTGTTGTTTGATTCATTGTTTTGTTCCTTTTATATTTTGTTTGGAGAAAACCACAATTATTTATATTCAGAATAAAACACCCAAAAGACATTGTTGTGTCCTGCGCTGGTTTAATTTCACCAGGCCACATATAGTACATACAAATGTTAAGATAAATGCAGTTTCCCTGAATGCAACTTACACTTTATGACTGCACTGTAACTGTGAGATAAATCCGTATCAGACCTTTTACATTATGGGTTTCTATTTTCACATCATGTATTTTATTTCATTTTACCAATGATTTATCTCAACATTGTCAAGTGATTTTATTCCATTTTTAAATACAAACTATTCTAAAACCATGTTGGACTCTATAATTTTCTCTGGATCCATGCCCAATCTGACAAGTGACAACAGGTTTAGCTGTATCTCATCATTCAACCGCTGGTTGTCTAAGTGGTGCCTGGAAAAGAACGTGGGCTTTGTAGGCAACTGAAAAACATTTTGGGCATACCCTGGTCTGATTAGCAGAGACAGCATCCATCCCACTTTGGATGGTGCAGCTCTCATATCTAGAAATCTGGACAAGTTTTTTTTACAACCTAAATTATGACAAAACTCTGTTAGTGAATGATTTGATAAGTGAACATCACATTGATTTATTGTGACTGAAACCTGGTGACAGCAGGAAGAATATGTCAGTCTAAATGAATCCATTCCACCTGGTCACAGTAACTGTCACATCCCTAGAAGCTCAGGCCAAGGTGGAGGTTTGGCAGCGATTTTTGACTCAACCCTAGACCTAAACATAGTTGTAACTCATTTGAAAGCCTCATCCTGAGTCTCTTGCACCCAAACTGGAAAATTCAAAAACCAGTTTTATTTGTTATTGTTTACTGTCCCCCTGCTCCTTATTCAGAGTTTTTAACCAAACCTCAGACTTTCTGTCTGATTTAGTGCTTAGTACAGATAAAATAATCATAGTGGGTGACTTTAATATTCATGTAGATGCTGACAATGACAGCCTCAACAGTGCATTCAGTTTATAATTAGACTCAATTGGCTTTTCTGTCAGGTCTGCTCGGTGCGACCTGCCTCTCTTCCTCCTTTCTCTCTCCCGATCTCTTATCCTGCAGGCTTGGCACCTCAGCTGTGGCGCATTCTGTAATCAGTAACTCATTGGGTGAAGTGCACAGCTGAGGCACATTCCACTGATCACCTTCCTTCCCTATTTAAACCCCTAACAGACACTTCTTTGTTGCCAGAGTGTTATATGCGTTTATCCAGTTGTTACGTGATTTTCAACACTGACAGTTTTTTGTGCTGTTGATTCCCCTTGTTATGTTGATGCTGTGTTTAGACGTGACTTAGAATTCAGCGCTGACAGTTTCTGTATAGCTGATTTCTTTGTTATGTTGGTGTAGCCACTCCTGTGGCAATCTTCCCTTGCCATGATGGCCTCCGGCGAGTTTCCCTGCTGTGAGTATCGGACGGTGATCATCCCAGACGTGGATACCTGATGGCGAGTGCTATAGCAAGCGCTACGCCTGCCTTGTCTTCTGGTTCCGGTGTCCCTCCTGTCACCTCACCTGCTACTGTTCTCTCATCTGCTCACCTGCCCATCCTGGTCCTCTGATTCTCCTGATTCCTGCAATCCTCCTGTCTACTCACCTGCCCGTCCTGCACTCTTTAGCCTCTGTTACTCTACCCTGGTTTTGGACTACATATTTGATTTGATTTGATTTAGTCTTTATATATACTCGTGACTGCTTGTGTTCTTAATAAATCCATGTTTTTCACTAGCACCTGTGTTTACATCTTGAGTCCTCCTTTTTTGTTCTCCCTCACCCCCCCAGTGAGGGGACTCAACCATAACATTTTCTCAAACTGTAAATAAACTCACCCAGATTATGTCTGATGGTCCTCGGTCTTCAAAAAGAGCAACAGCTTTTCTGCCATGTTGCTGGGCTGCAGTAAAGACATGATGAAGGAGGGCTTTGCAGGATGAAGCCAGAAGGCCGCAGCACAATCAGCAGTGCCACCTCCTGAGAACAGAGGAGTTTGGACATGGTCTTTTCTGCTGCTTCTCATCCAGTCTGGAGGTCTCGGGGTGTCTGAAGAGTTTTTCATAGCCTGGAAAGATAGTTAATAACATATAAAAAAGCCCTTCGTAGTGCCAGAACTGCATTTTATTCATCACTGATTGAGGAAAATAAGAACAACCCCAGGTTTCTTTTCAGCACTGTAGCCAGGCTGACAAAGAGCCACAGTGCTGTTGAGCTTAACATTCCCTTAGATCTCAGCAGCAATGACTTCATGAGCTTCTTTACAAATAAAATCACAACTATTAGAGAAA